GGGATCTCCATCCAAAATGTCAACATGTGATGTGAATACAAATTTTACAATTTTTGCACCTAGCTTACAAGTTCAAAATAAATTCTCTTCAAAGCTATATCCCATATCAAATAAAATTCTTAGAACGTTTTCCTCTATCGCCCTCAAAAGGTGGCTAAGTGTTGGGATCAACAAGTAAGTTTCTTTACGAATTAACACGTTCCTCTTACTATGTCTTTCATTTTTCTTAACTAACATTTGGAACTCATTAATTCAATTAATTTTAACTCTATACTCTATAAGGTTCGTTTAACAATAAAGTGTTCTACTTCAAGTTTAGTTATTCTTAAATTCAAATCAATATTTAGTTAAATATGAATCAAAATCACTCATTTCACTATATTTAGAGCTGTCAATATGGGATTGACCTACAAGGCCGATTCAACCTAACCCTTGAACTAAATAGAGTTGAATTTAATTTTTTTCAGCTCATTTAGGAATGAAACTTTTTAGCCCAACCTCATTTGGCTCGTTAGCCTCGTAGATCCCAATATGCAGCCCGCTTCGGACTGGATAGGACTTCTATGCTAACTCGTTCAACTCTCTAGCTCTTTAAATTTGGATTGGGCCCATTTTAACCACTATAAATATAGGGAAAATTGTACATAATAGCAAACTAATAACCTAAATTAAATGGAATAGCTAGGGTTTGATTTAATTGTGCTCCATAGCAAACATTAGCTAAAATTTGCCAGCGTCTCTCTCCCAAAAATCTCGCTCGCCACTCTCCATTCTCGCTCGCCTCTCTCGCCACTCTCCATTCTCGCTCGCCTCTCTCGCTTTATACACAGAAGTGTATAATCTGTTTCTGTTTTGTATAAAGCGAGAGAAAATTGTATATACACATGCAAAAATGTATATCTTCGTGTTATACACTTAATTATACAATTTACAAACATTTTACTTCAAATATTGCAGAGAAAAAGGCCAACGAATTATACAATTGCGAATTATACAATTGCAGTGAAATACAATTTTCTCTAGCTTTATACAACATAAGTGTATATGTTGTGTTTCTGTTTTTGTATAAAGCGAGAAAAACATATATCTTCTTGCTATACACTTATAATTATGCAATATACATACATTTTAATTCGATTCAACTGTATGCAAAATAAATTATACAATTGCAGCGAAATAGGCCAGCGAATTATACAATTTAGGCCAGCGAATTATACAATTGTATATATATAGCCAATTATACAATTTTATGTTTGCTATGGAGCGCAATTATGCAAAATTTGCTATAGCATACAAATATGAATTTTTTGTTTCTATATGTGAAAGTTGCCCATAAATATATCTATTATTAATATCACAATAATAAAGTACTTTGTATTTTTGTGTATTAAATTCTTTTTGAGGTTGTTAAACTTATAATACTATATATTTTATTTGTGATTAAACTTAATACCATATATATTTCGCTTTTGCCTACAAAACACCCTGAGTGAGTTTCACTTTAATCAACTAAACAATGACTCTGTGGACATGGATAGATTTGGAACTTCTTTAACCGCTAAACCAAAGTTAATTATCTTATTTTTTTCATCATTAAATTTATGTGGTATATTTAAGTTTCTTAATTTTGAGTATGAATTGAAATTTTTTTAAAATTAAATTTAAAATTTAAGACTAAATAAACTCACTATTAATAACTATAACTACCAACTTAAATATTTACAAAAAAGAATTTATCAAAGAAAAGAATAGTTAGACTTCCAAAATTTTAACATTAATGGCTAAGACCATCCCCAATCCACCTCTATTTTACTAACTGGAGAGTAAAATAGAGAATAGACACTCGAACCCATCTCTATATCACTCTTCATTCTTCAAATATAGAGAGGTGAATAGTAGTTCTCCAAATTACTTTTTGACAATTTTATTATTATTTTTAATACTTTCTAATTAACATATTATTTTACAAATAATGTTAACTAAATATCTAATATTCATACTTCTTTTTAAATGTAATATAATATTTTTAAAAATGTATTATTTAATATATAGTACTTTCATCCCGAATTAATCGTAATTTAATTTTTTCTAATTTTCATTAATGATATAATTTGATTTTATTATTGATTTTCTCTATAACAATAAACACAATTAAAATGATTAGATGAAAATTTTAATTGAAAAATACAATACATAATATGATAATTTAAATACAACATAATACAATACATAACATTATAATTTGAATATAACATAAAATACAATACATAACATAATAATTAATTCGGAATAAAGTAAGAATCATGTGGCCAAAAAGATGTTGAACGTGAACTTGGAGTTTAACAATCACGTTTTGCAATTATTATAGGACCATCACGTTTTTGAGGAAATGAAGTGCTACATGAATAATAACTACATGTATTATGTTGCACAAGATGATAATTGAGGATAAACATGATCTTAATGCAACAATTCAAAACGATGTAGAGGTTGCAACTCCAACGTTGAAAATGGTTATAAATGAAAATCTCTTATTTGAACAATTTTTAGCAATACATAAAAAAAATAAGGACGATAATGCTCATTTTGAAGTTTGTATGCTTTAATATAGTATTTATAGGAGCAACATAATAATTTTGAAAATTGAGTGTTTATATAATTGTATTTTAATCTTATTAGAATTTATCCATTAATTTGTATATTATAGCATATTTTGTTGTAATTTATGTTATTTAAAAATTTAGAATAAAATAATCATAAAATAGAGAATTGGACTAGAAATAGTTATATGAAGAAAATAGAAAACTCTATATTTGAAGAATAAAATAGTGGACAGAGGTGAAGATGCTTGTCCACAAAAAGATAAGTTGACTTTGAAAATTTTAATATTGACAACGTGATACTTCTATTCTCTAATTTGAAGAAAAAGCACGGGGTTCTTCAATTTTAAAAAAATGAACCAAAATCAAGTAATATTGTATGGAAAAAAAACTGTCTGGGCATGTGGCCAAAATGACAAGATTACATCAGATATTAAAACCAAATGCGACTTCAAAATTGAAATAGAGAAAATAATGGGAGCAAGAAAACTAATCAAACAAAAAAAATAAGTAAATTGATAATCAATTTATTTAATAAGCCCAACAATTTACATAAATATAATGTCAAATCATAACAACTATCAATAATAATAAAACTCTAGTAATGAAATGTATAAGATATACACCGTGATGTACATGTTGCTATTAATTCTATTTGTAGTGTGTTCCAATGAACCTACTTACTTAAACCGGTACAAATCAAAGTTGGCATAATAAATTAACAATCTCTCTACATTTTTTTTTTTGCAAGTCAAGTTGGCTATTAAAATTGGGTTAAAATTAATACATTAGAGTTGTCTCTTAGCTGGATAAGGCCAAAGATAATTTGATTATTCATATATTAATTTTATATATATCATGTGTTTGGTGTTCAAATAGAATAAAACTTATTCAATGGGAATGATTTAGGGAATTAATGATAAAATAAAACGTTAAATATTATATTTTTAGCGGGTTAAATTAAATGGGCGGATCATTAAATGGTTTTAATAGACATATATATTTGATTCTTAAAATTTTGATTAATAATTAAAATTTCATGTCACTAAATTTTAATGAAAAAACAATTAAATACGTTGAGTGATTTTATGTGCAAAGAAGTCATAGTTGAGTGATTTTGAGTTGACAATGAAAGTTGAGTGACTTTCTGTACAAAAAAATTACAGTTGAGTGACTTTTGAGTTGAAAACGAAAGTTGAGTGATTTTCCGTGGAACAATTGATAGGTGAGTTATGAACTCTTTATAAATGTGCCTTAGTTAGTTACTGATAGTTAGTTTAAAATATCAGATTAGATGAGTAATTAAATAGTTAGAAATGATGTGCCAAGTCCGTTCACTGTATTCATTCTTTTCTAACGCATTATATTTTCTCTTCAAATTCAATTCATTTCTTTCCTTCTTACATTGTTCATGGATTCTATCATGAATTATCATTAAAGTGCTGTAACTAATATCTATATAATTAATACTCATATTATTAATATTTGCTTAACTTTATTTGGCTACTTAACATAACAGTTCAAACATTTTTTACGATTTGAAAGCTATGTATACAATATCCTAGCTACAGGATTTTTATAGTTATAGTTTACATAATTGCGCTCCATAGCAAACAAGCATCAGACTGTATAACTCGCCTGCAGGAGCATCAGTTTATATAATTTCGTTGGCTGACCTCTCATTTGTACAAAACCGCAGCAATTGTGCATGTATATAAGTTATATAATTGTATACTATGTACATGTATGAATGGTTGTGTTTGTATATATGCATAAAGTTTGAATTTATAGACAATTGAATCGAACTAAAACGTTTGTATATCAAATCTCGATCTCTCACTTTATTCAACAAAAATTATACATTGTAATTTGTATAATATGTGTTTGTATAAGGCGAGAAAAAAATAAAGACAAACGAGAACTAGGCAGGGGAAGATCTGTATTTGTATCATTATAAATGTATATGATGAAAATATATTATTTGTATTTGTTTATACACTTTTCTCTTCAAAAACAAACACATTTTATACATTTATGTTTGCATAAAGTGAGAGAGGCGAGGGAGAGACTGACGAGCGAAAATTTGAGAGAGAGAAAGGCTATAGGTTACAATTAAATCGTATTGTGGTTATACCATTTGATTTGAATTAATAGCTGGTTTGCTATTATCTACAATTTTCTCTTTTAAATTTTAGAAAGATTGAGTACACAATCATTTTTACTAAGATTGAGTACAAATTAAATAAGATGTATCAAATCCTTTAAATATACGGGAACGATTCTAATGTTTGCTTGTTTATTGAGTTGTCTAAAATCCAATTAAATATTAGAAGTGTATTTCATGATAAGTAATAATAAATGAAATCGCTTCACTATAAATTAGCATTTGAGATGGGCAATATGAATGAAAACGTAGCAAAATAAGAAAGAAAGAATCAATTAGATACATAATAAAAAAAAGAGGAGTGGTATGGGTAGCATGGCTGATAAATGGGAGGAACTTAGTGGGAAAAACAATTGGGAAGGATTATTAAACCCCTTGGATCTTGATCTTCGTAAATATATCATTCAATACGGAGAATTGGCTCAAGCAATCAATGACACTTTCATTACAGAAAAAGCGTCTAAATATGCAGGAGCTAGCAGATACTCTATGGAAAACCTTTTTACTAAAGTTGGACTTGACCCAACCAAGTATCGTGTAACCAAATATTTCTATGCTACTGCATCCATTCCACTTCCTGATGGTGTTTTCTTCGTGAAATCATTGTCAAGAGAAGCATGGAGTAAGGAATCAAATTTTATGGGATATATTGCTGTAGCTACTGATGAGGGTAAAGTTTCACTAGGAAGAAGGGATATTGTTATTAATTGGAGAGGAAGTATGCAAACATTGGAGTGGGTGAATGACCTTCAATTTGTACTTGTTCCAGCACCAGAAGTATTTGGTGATGGAGGCTTGCTTCAACCTTTGGTGCATCAGGGCTTCTATAATGTCTATACAGCATCCAGTTCAAGATCACAGTTTAATGTGACTAGTGCCAGAGATCAGGTACTACATGTACTTTTATTTATTAGTCGGAAAAAAGGCTAAAGATATATTAAAATAATTCATCATATATATTTTTTAGGTAATGGAAGAAGTGAAAAGATTGGTTGAGGAATATAAGAATGAAGAGGTGAGCATAACTGTGACGGGACACAGCCTGGGTGCATCACTTGCAACTCTGAATGCAGTTGACATAGCTTTCAATAAAATCAACAAAGCAAGTAATGGCAAAGAGTTCCCAGTCACTGCTTTTCCATTCGCATGTCCTAAAGTTGGAGATCTCCAATTTAAGGCAGCATTTGACAAAATAATAGGGCTTCGTATCTTGAGAATTGATAACTTATTGGATATTGCTCCGAAATACCCACCTATTGGATACTTTGACGTTGGGCAGGAGCTAATGATTGACACCACAAAATCTCCCTATGTGAAACCTCCAGGACAACCTGTGAACTGGCATTCGCTGGAGTCATACTTGCATGGAATCGCTGGAACTCAAGGTACGGGGCTTTTAGCGGGTTTTAATTTAGAGGTGAATCGTGATATCTCACTTATCAACAAGCAGTTGGACGGATTGAAAGATGAATATTGCATTCCTGTGAATTGGTGGGTTGAGAAAAACAAAGGAATGGTTCAACAAGAAGATGGATCTTGGCTTCTCTTGGATCGCGATGATTATGACTTCTGATGGAGCTACCAACACTTTTAAAAAAACTATCATTTTATTTCCTTTCATCAAATGTTTTTTTTATTATTATTATTGTTTTATGTATGACTGATGTATCTCTAGTTGATTGGGCATGGCTTTCCTATGTAATTTATATGCATGTGTAATAAAATATTGAATGTTTTTGTTTGCTTACAAGCTAAAATTTGCTTTTGCTTTCATAAATCTCTGTGTTGATTATTGCTAGGGTAATTAATTAGAAGTAATTGATTACAAAGCATAAGAAATCTGACATTGATTTGTGTCGAATAAGCGATTTTGATGGTTTATTATGGGAGTTAGGATTTGATCATTTCGTAAGATTGGCCTTTTTGAATAGGAGTAGAACGAATATAATAGCCTCTTCTAAATTTGCTTTTGCTTTCATGATTCTCTTTGTTGATTGCTAGTGTAATTGTTTACAAAGCATAAGAAACTTGACATTGACTTTATATTTAATTTCATGCAATTTTGATGACTTGTTTCAAATAAGGGATTGTTATTGTTTATGGGAGTTAGAATTTTATCAATTACACCCTCCGTCCATTATTGTTTGTCATGATTTCTATTTTTAGAGTCAAACTATAGGAATTTTGATTAACATTTTAAGATGTATTTTTTCATGATATTGATATGAAAAAAATATTATAATTTATAGTACTTTTCATATAGTTTTTGAATATCTGTATTTTTTGTTTGAAATATCAAATTAATGTAATCTAATTTAACTTTGAAATTAATTAAATTAACTTTATAAAAAAATAACATGATAAATAAAAATGGACGGAAGAAGTAATAAAGACCGTATAAGCCATTAAGACCTTTTTGGATAGGGGTAAGAACAAATGTAATAGCCTCTTCTCAATGATCTCGTATATATAGTATGAAAACGTTTTGACTTTTTGATAATTTTCACAAATTGGAAATTTTCATATTTATAAAAAAAAAAATTAAAATTTACATGTCAAAACAAATTAAATTCCAACTTTAAATAAACTCTACCCAAATTAAAACTTTCAAATTCAAAACCAAATGCTTACTAATTAATAAGTCATGAAAAATAAGTACCAATTAAGTACATTTAAAAATCGGATTGTTTGTTGAGGGAGAAACTCTCATCTTATGTTTATAAAAATCAAATCGAAGAAATTACATTAAATAACATAATTTTTTTGTTTGATTCGATTTGATTTCGGAATATAATTTCAAAAATGTTCATTTCACTCTAAATGAAATAATTTATATTCACAGTCGACACAAATATATATGACTTGTTTTATTCCATAAGTTTCAAAAATGTTCATTTTTTAAATTAAAAAAAACTTTGTGTCAAGTCAATCTAAGTCATATAAATTGAGACAGATGAATATGTATTTTGATTTTTAGTTGAAGGAATTTTATGTAAATATTAGGAGTATGATCTCAGCTATATATATTCACAAATCAAATATCCCTAAGCTTTAATTTGGTGAACAAATGCCTACATAATTGCCACAAAAAGGCCCTAAATGGAATCTCCACGATTTCACCCAAAATGTTTAACATGTGATGGTGAATTTTACAATTTCTGCACCAAGCTTACAAGTTTTTACAATTTCGCATATCAAATGGACTCTTTAACGTTTTCCTCTATCGCCCTCAAAAGGTAGTTAAATCAAGATGTTTCTTTACCGATTAACACTTCGTAAATCGGAGAGCTTGAAGGAGTATTGTCTTTCGTTTTCTCTTTAACTACCTAACATTTGGAACTCATTCATTTGATTAATTTAAATTCAATGTTATATAAAGTTTGTTTAAATTAAATGTTCTTCATCAAACATTTTCGTTCTTAACCAAGATATTTCGTTAAATTATGTCCTCTAGTAGAATCTTTATAATTAATATCATAATAATAAAGTATTTCACTTTAATCAACTCCAGAAAAAGAGGAGCAGAAAAATTGAAATGAGAAGACTATAAAATAGACCAACTGAAATGTCATCAAATTCGAAAGACTAAAGAATGACTTTGTGGACATGGGTATATTTGGAACTTCCTTACGCACTAAACGGAAGTTAATTAACTACCTTACTTTTTCATGTCTAAATTTATGTAGAATATTTGGTTTTAAAAATAAATTTAAAATTTAAAAAATACATAAATTTTCTATTAATAACTATAACCACCAACTTAAAATCTTTATAAAAAAGTTGATCAAAGAAAAGATTAATTGACTTTCAAAATTAAAATATTGACACGTAAATTTAATAGATATATCAAATATTATCGTATAAATAATTTGAATGTGACAAAAGAATATTAACGGATATCGCTAACAATAATATTGCTACATATATAGCTAACACTCAATATTGATCATGCATGGTACGTTAGGGCTCGAGTGAGTGAGTTTTTTCTATTGGTTGATGCTTAATTCATTTAACCTATAAATATAGTGTATTTCTCTAGCTTGTATGACATTCAGATCCCAAGAAATACAACAATATATTTCTATTATTGTATTCCAAATTTTCCTAATTCATTAAGTTTTTATTTCATAACATCTTTTCTACTAAAATCGCTCTCAGAGTCGAAGCTCACGACACCAGATTCAGAGCTCGCATACGTTATCGACGCTCGAAAGCTCCATTTAACTACTCGTAATTTACAGTTTTAATCTACTTTTCGCTTTATTTCAATATATATGACTCAATTTTCTATTTAGTTAGTGTAAAAAAAAAGACATAATTCTATATTTAGTAGTAATATTTTAACTTTTAAATGCCTATTTTACAACTAATGTAATGATTTATCACTGTTCAAAAATCTATAACTTATTTTAGATCACAAATTTCAAAAGTTAATCTTTTCTTTTTAAACATCATTTCAAATCAAATAACATCATATATATTGAGATTAGAGGGAGTCATACAATAATGTTCAAGTGCTAATAATCAAATACAATGAATTAAACTAAAACAAATCGGAATTAGGAATTATTAGGTATCTGAACTAAAATTAATGTTTAGTAATATAGGATCTTAAAGACAAATCATGGGCTAGTAACCCAAAATAATATGAATCGTTTCTCACTTTCTTGTAGTGTTTTGAAGATAAGTTTCGAATGGAGTGAATTAGGTTGGGCTCTTAAATAGGGAAACAATTGTGTTGGGCCGGACAAATCCGTTTGACAACTCCAACACCCACTATGAAGCATACAAATATTAATTACAACTTAATCATTACAGTAATCTTAGTCTTACATATTATTACGACAAAATCTACTCAGAAAGAACCGTCTGAAAGTTCAATCTAGGACCTTGGTCTCAACAAAATGAGAACTATTAAACTTTTGAATTCACTTTTACTTATATTTATTAAATGCTCACTTTTTACTTTAGTGATGGGTTAAAACTCAAAACCAAACGTGACTTCAAAATTGAAATAGAAAAAGTAATGCAAGCAAGAAAATTAATCAAACAAAAAAATGAAGTAGATTCATCATCCATTCATTTAACCCCACCATTTAAATAATAAATCATAACAACAATAATAATAAAATTCCAATAATGAATTATGTAAGATATATAACGTGTTACATGATGTTACTATTTTCTATTTGTAGTGTATTCCAATGAATTAGCGATCCCTGTACATTTTTCTAAAGTGCTTTTTGTTTTTGCAAGTCAAGTTGGCTACTAGAAATAGGTTTAAATCAAATACACTAATAATTCAAACATTTTTTATGATATGAAAGCTACGTATACAATATCCTTAGCTACAAGATTTGGTACATGATTGGGATTGCGTATCCCCAGAAAGTCAAACAATAGATCTACTTAGTTGTATTCTTTTTTAATAACACATCCAATCAACTGTTAAGCAATAAAATAAAAATCATGGTGTGTGCATTAATTGTTAACTCAACAAAGGTTAATTACCAAAGTGGGACTTCAAAAACCAGCTATAGTAAAGTAATAATTAAAAATTTTAAAGGTCATCTTTTTGAAGGAGCATTCAGCTCCAATGTAGAACTTCACCAATGCTAGTAACCAAAAATAAAATAAAATGTGGAGTGATGATCTTTTACCATCAGTTAAATTTTAGCGGCCGGCAAACATGATAAAACATCAAAATTATTTGAGTAAGGTGTACCAAAGCCTTTAAATATACGGGACCGATCGTAATCTTTGCTTATTTATTGAATTGTCTGAAATCCAATTAAAAATTAGAAGCGTGTTTTATGATAAGTAACAATAAATGAAATCGTTCACTATAAATTAGCATTTGAGATGGGCAATATGAAAAACAGATCATAGCAAAATAAGAAAGAAAGGGAAAAGAGAGGAGTAATATGGCTGAGAAATGGGAGGAACTTAGTGGTAAAAACAATTGGGAAGGTCTATTACACCCCTTGGATGTTGATCTTCGTAAATACATCATTCATTACGGAGAATTGGCTCAAGCAACTTATGACACTTTCATTACAGAAAGAGCGTCTAAATATGCAGGTGCTAGCAGATACTCAATGGAAAATCTTTTTACTAAGGTCGGACTTGACCCAAACAAGTATCGTGTGACCAAATTTTTCTATGCTACTGCATCCATTCCACTTCCTGATGGTTTCATCGTGAAATCATTGTCAAGGGAAGCATGGAGTAAGGAATCAAATTTTATGGGATATATTGCTGTGGCTACTGATGAGGGTAAAGTTTCACTAGGAAGAAGGGATATTGTGATTGCTTGGAGAGGAACTATGCAGAAGCTGGAGTGGGTTAATGATCTTCAATTTTTACTTGTGCCAGCACCCCAAGTATTTGGTGATGGAGGTTTGCTTCCTTTGTTTCAACCTTTGGTGCATCATGGCTTTTACAATGCTTATACATCATCGAGTTCACGATCACAGTTTAATCTGACTAGTGCCAGAGATCAGGTACGTACATGTTAATTTTCTATTCGATTTGATATATCGGAACAATTCATCATTATTTCTTCCTTTTAATTATCAGGTAATTGAAGAAGTGAAAAGATTGGTGGAGGAATATAAGCATGAAGAGGTGAGTATAACTGTGACTGGACACAGCCTAGGTGCATCACTTGCAACTCTAAATGCAGTTGACATAGCTTTCAATGGAATCAATAAAACAAGTGAAGGCAAGGAGTTTCCAGTGACTGCCTTTCCATTCGCAAGTCCTAAAGTTGGGGATCTTCAATTTAAGGCAGCATTTGACAAAATAAAAGGGCTTCGTGTTTTGAAAATTCATAACTTATTGGATATTGTTCCGAAATACCCACCTATTGGATATTTTGACGTTGGGCAGGAGCTAATGATTGACACCACAAAATCTCCCTATGTGAAGCCTCCAGGAGAACCTGTGAGCTGGCATTTGCTGGAGCCCTACTTGCATGGAGTCGCTGGAACTCAAGGTTTAGGACTTTTAGCAGGTTTTAAACTAGAGGTGAATCGCGATATTTCACTTGTCAACAAGCAGTGGGACGTATTGAAAGATGAATATTGCATTCCTGGGCTTTGGTGGGTTGAGAAAAACAAAGGAATGGTTCAACAAGAAGATGGATCTTGGCTTATGTTGGATCGCGATGAGTATGACTTCTGAGGGAGCTACCTACACTTTTAAAAAGTGATCATTTTATTTACTTTTAAGAAATGTTTGAATAAAAGTTTTTTTTTTTTTTAATGTATGAGTTATGTATCTCTAGTTGATTAGGCATGGCTTACCTATGCAGTGTGTACTCAAATTTATTATATGCATGAAATAATATATTGAATGTTTTTGTTTGCTTATAAGCTAAAAATTTGCTTTTGATTTCATGAATCTCTCTTGATTAATAGTGTAATTAATTAGTAGTAATTGATCACAAAGCATCAGAAAGTTGATTGTGAGTCCGTTTGGATATGCTTAAAAAAAGTAATTTTTAAAAAATACTTTTGAAAGTGGTGAAACTTATTTTTAAAATAAGTAGATATGCGTTTGGATAAAAGTGTTTCAACTGAAAAAAAATTGTTGATGTGTTTAGCAAATAAGTGATGATAAACACTTTTTTTTATCAAAATGTTTGAAATACCATTAAAACTGTTAACATGATAAAAAGTTGATTAATTTAAGATTTTTATACTTAAAAAATTAAAACAAAATTAATTTATATTTTACATCCATAAGTAATAATATTTTGTATCATTCACATATTTCTTTGTCATCACAAATTTTTTATAATAATAATAATAATAATAATAAAAATAAAAGTATAAATAAAACTAAAAATAATAATAATGATAATAATAATAAAAAAATAATAAGAAAAATAATAATAATAATAATTTTTTACAAAAAATAAAGGCAAAAAGGTAATATACTTAATCACATAAAATGATTTTTAAGTTGAAAAAAAAAACACTCTCACCTAGCTTTTAGCTTTTGACTTAAATAAGTTATTTTTTACTTAAAATAACCATTTTGATAATTGTCAAACACTCTAATAAGTCAAAAACTGACTTTTAAATCAGTTTGATAAGCTTTTAAGCTCATCCAAACAGGCTCTGTGACTTTAAATTTAATTTCTTGCGATTTTAATGACTTGTGTCAATTAAGCGATTTTGATGGTTTATGAGAGAGTTAGGATATGCTTATTAGTAAGATGGTATAAGACTTGTAAAAGTTTTGATAATTTTCACAAATTACAAAAAAAAAAATGTTTGGTTATAAAGAAATTATAATTTTGTAAAATTTAATTACATGTCCTAACGAATTAAATTCCAACTTTAGATAAACTCTTACACAATTTAAAGATTTCATATTCACAACCAAATGCTTACTGATTAAGTCATGAAAAAAATGAAAAATTAAAGAACATAACATAAAGAATATGTCAAGGAATATTAAAGAGTTTCTTTACTTAAACATTTAAAAGTGGGTTTGTTTTCGGGGAAAAAAACTCTCACCTTATGTTTTTCTTATAAAAAACTTCTTTTATAAAAATCAAATTGAAGAAATTAAATAGCAATTTTTTTATTTGGTTTTGGTATATAATTTCAAAATTGATATAATTTAATTTGATTTTTATAGCAAATAACATTCTTTCAATTTAAATTATTTTTTATAATTTATCTGAGTAACTAATAAAAGTATTGATATTATGAATATATATAAAAATATATTTAACAATGAATTGTTATAAAATCAAACTCATAAGAAGAAGGCAAGAGAAGTAGATAGAAGAATAAAAATATTGGTATTTGTATATTTAATCTTTATCTCGCTTTACACATACAAATTATAAAGCGAAAGAGAAAAACAAAATATAAATAAACATATGAAAATTTGTATTTGTTTAATTATAAGTGAATATGATGAAAAAAATATTAAAATGTATTTGTATAATTTTTGTTTTGTAAAAAGTGAGAGAGAGATTGACAAAAGATAAGCAAGAGAGACTTGGCAGGGAGAGGGGAGAGATGACTGAAACAGAGGAGAGTGACGAGCGAGATTTTAGAGAGAGAGGAGAGGGGAGAGAGGCTAAAAAGAGGAAGAGGAAGAGGAAGAGAGGAGAGAGACGAGAGAGGGGAAGAGAGGAGAGAAGCGAGAAATAATGTAATTATAGTTAAAAGTAAGCTTTGAATCGTAATTAATGCAAATTATAACTATATTAGTTAATCAACCAATATATATTTGTTTAATCGCGTAATTTTCTCTTTAATTAACATTAACAACCAAAAGTTAAGTATAACTTCCATAATTTTCTCTTTAGTTATCATTAACAACCAAAAGTTAAGTATAACGTACATAAATGTGTTTTATCGAAAAAAGGGTGATTTTTGAAAAGGGTTTGTTTTTCGACTTTTAGGAGTCGCCACTTAATTTTTAAGAAAAATCAAGAAAACTTTGTTTCTAAACAACCTAAACAGAACAATTGTTTTGAAACATTTTTTAAGGGTTCGGGATTCTTATTAGTGTCTTAGGAAGGTGTAAGGCACCTAAGACACTCCGTTAAATACGGTTTTCCGACGATTAACTTATTTGACTACTTTTTAACCTTTTGCGAATTTCTTGTTTTGAAGTTAAGATTATTTCCTTTAAACAAATTTTTTTTTTTTTTTGCAATATTTATTGTTTTAAGCTTCCGTTTTAATTTTTTTTTTTTTTTTTAAGTTTGATAAAATGGAACGCATTCGATGGGGTTTGGAGTTTCTAACCCTAAACTATACGTCATTCAACAAACACGAAAAGCAAAATGGTAAAGAGAGAGGGAGAGAGAGAGAGAGAGATTTCGGTCCAAGTCTTCGGGTTCTGTTCGCCTTGACCGAATCTTGGACCCTAGATGCCTTTGGGTATTTGACCCATTTTTGTACCTGTTCTAATCTAAACATACAAAATACTCTCGAGAGAAATAAAAAGGACAAGGGCTTATGCCCGAAATGAATACAACATAATAACGAATAAATAATCTTCTAATCCGCCTTCTTCAAGTTCTTCAATCTTCAAGGCATTCGCTTGGCATGTCTATCCTGATGGCTTGACTCGAATAAAGAGAGTTTCGAGCCTTTATGGCTCTTCCGAATGCATAGAGAAAGAATGGAGTCCCGCAATGGACTCGAGAGGAGTTTTCACATGCCACAAAAACAAATGAAATGAGAATTGACATTTTAAAGATAATAACTAAAATAAACAAATTCACAAACACAACAAGGGCTTCTTTAACATGTAATACTAATCAAATATTCACAAGAATAGCAAAACCAACCTCCAACAACTTTAATGGTATTTAAAGCTATATAGATCGTTTCAACCTAAGTGACACCATACAACGATACATAAACTGTGCTGCAAAACCAAGCGTAGAGAAACCTTCACACGAAATTGTTGATAACTCCAAATCGCATTTAAAGAAAACTTAGCCAGAAAACAAGTAGTGAAATACTATTGAAATGCGTCACATGGTTAAATATCAGCTAATCATTTATGCTTAAAACACTTGAACATCCCTCATTTAACTTTAAGAGGGATTTCAACATATGAAGCGATACCATCCAACATCGAGCAGACTAGACAAGAAGACAACTCCATTAACTTACCACATGACTACCGATTAAGACAGCCAAATACAAATGGCGACTGCGAGATGAAGACGGCCTTTCAAACCACAGATTTCCAGAAAAGTTTCAGATAACCAACGTGGCACACAAAAAATGAAACGTTCATTCAAGACTCCTAACAAGACAGATTATCCAAGCGAAGTAACAATTTTGGAAATAAAGACAATGGAGAGGATAAGCAGCCATCATGTATTCAAGAACCATATACTTGAACAAGTTTAGAAAAGAAAACAAATTTCAGGAGAAGAGAGCTCAAAGATATAAACCTGTTACCCTTACTACGATACTCGAGACAAGCAAATACACAACTATCCGACGAACAAACCACAACTAATCCTAATAGGCACCTTCATAGCCAAATATCACCACAAGAACCAATATCCGTATCGATCAAAACGACCATCACGCCGCCTACAATCAGTCTAACAGTGTTGAAACGAAGATACTCAATCGAAGAAGAACCTAAAATCAAAACAAATGGGCCAAAACAGAGTCGAAATAGAGAAACCCGTAGGCATTCGTTGCATTGCATCCAATGTTTGAGACAGAATGCAAGCAGAAAGAAGGACCCATTTGAAAACTTAACAGCTAAACAATGAATTCAAATCAGCAGAGAGAATCAAACTTTACAATATTTAACGATTAGGCGGGAAGCAAACCAGAATTCCCACAAGCAACAACAACTAAACGCTTTCCATATCAGTCAACAAATACACGTGAAAGAGGAAAACGTATGAAGATGAAATAATTTACCTCTTCGGGGGCAGCGATACCGGGGGAAAACGAGTTTGAAAGAGGACGATCTTCCACCACGCGAACTTGGTATCTCGAACAGACGCCCGAAGGGACTGGCGTCGTCGGAACGGGAAGGCGATGTCGTGGTCGAGACTGAAACGCAAGGCTGCTTTAGACTCTCACCTCTCTCTGTTCTTACGAAATCGACAGCGAAACAGAAAATTTCTCCGCTTTCCCAAACAATTTCCAACTATCTTTCTACAATAAGGAACCAGAAAGTTTTCCAAACCCCCAAGAAAAACAACAGAACGACCCAATAATTTTTCCCAAAAAAATTCCCCCCCCTCCGATGACTGAAAAAAAATCGACCCTTTTGAGAGGGACGCTAGGCCTCTATTTGAATTCCAAATTCGAAATTCCCTTGGGTCAAACCCACATGGTCGACATTGCGTGTTGCAGACCTGTTCGACAGCGACGACTTGCGTGTTGCAGACCTGCTCGACAGCGGCAGGGTATGGGTCTCTGCGGGGTTGTTGGCGAGTCGCGTCTGAGTTTTCTGGGTTTCTGTCGAGAGGGGAAGGAGAGAACGAGCGTGGGAGAGACGCGGGGTTGAGGGAGAGAGCACGGGGAGAGACGCGAGGGGAGATCGCGTGAGGTTGGGGAATTGGGCTTTCTGTTGGCGTCTGTTTTCTGGGGAAATTATCGTGGCTGCTAAACGCGTGAGTGAGAATGGGGAAGAAGAAGGGAAGGGGATCCGGGTCGGATCCGGGTCGGACGGGTTGGGTCGGGTAGGAGATTTAAGTTTAGTGGGTTTTGGTAAAAGGGAATGGGCTGGATTAGGCAAAACGTTGGGCAGAAATGGGAATTGAGTCGGAATTTTTGGGTTGAAAGGGAATTTGGGCCTGGGGTTGGGAAATATTATAAATGAAGGTGGGCTGGAGTAAATGTAAGGTGTTGGGCCATTGGAACAAAAGGGCAGAGGCCCAAACTCGAATCAAAAGGGAAAAAGAGTTAATTAATATAAGCAAATTGATTTAAAACAAGACGAATTTGGTTAAATCTATTAACGAGCTTATTTTTTAGTAACATAATTATTTAAATTATAAAATAAAGATTCAAAATATAGTTGTGATTTAAAGTAAACTAGTTTAATAGAATACTTTCCAAACTTAAGATATACATACATACATATACATATACATATATATGTATATATATATATATATATATATACATATTTTTTATTTTTTTATTTTTTTTTTAATTTTCGCAAGACTTATAAAACTAATTAACTTAAATAATTTGAAAACTCATGAAGCTCGATAATTAATTTATACCAACGCGGGTCAAAAATTGGGTGTCAACAAAATGAATATATAGTAGTTGGTGGTGGTGATACAAAGAGTAACATATTTGAGACACTTAAAAAGGTCGTTTGGTCATGCGATATAGTATCATGATATAGAAGTAAGAAATGAAATTAAAGTTTTGTTTAGACATGTGATACTGAAATTTTTGTGTTGTATATTTTTTAATAAACGTAATTATTTTGTAAGTTGTAAAACTATATATTAAAATAGTCTCAATTGTATATTCAATCTTATCAAATAAACAAAAAATTATAAAGTCGCATAATAAATTATTACAATGATATTTGTTCTCCACTTAAGTGATTATTTAATCTAACTTTAATTTAATTAAAAAAATTGAACATAAATTGTGGTTTACTAGTCTTTAATATAATCCTCCCACATAATATAAACAATTTTCTCACATTGAACTTGCATTTTTCAATCATGTGATCGAGAAGACGAGCTAATATTGTTACTTTGAGTCATTTGTTGCTCAATATCCTCCACAACTATATTTTTATGCTCATAGACCATAATTGTTTCATCACTTTAACAATCGATATTGGTATGTGTTAAAGTGTCTATGTTGGTGAGAATAATAAATTTATGTCGGTGAAGATAATAAATTTTATAAAGTAATGATGTAAATATAAATTTTATTTACGTATGACAACAATAGTTAGTAAGATATAAATATGGGGTTGTTTTAACAAAATATAAACTCGTAGATTAATTTTTGTGTTAAAAATCTCAAATTATGATACGGTATTCCCATAGGATTCCAAATCATGATTTTTGAAGAATATGGAATCATGAGATGGAACCAGCATAAAATCGCATGTCAAACGTTGATCAATCCCACGATACCATGGCCAAATTTCTACTTATAATAAAACATTTTCATCGTTTACTTTTATTTGTTCATTTTTAAATTTTGCTTCCTTAAAAAATAATTATAAATATACATATTTTGTCATAATACCTATATTAATATACGTTTAGTACTTATTAGATTTTGGATGTAATTTGAAAAATAAGTTACTGATGCTCAAACATAATTTTTCAAAAAAATTTCCATCTTTTTTAAAAATGATAAATAAAAATAAATGTTTATTTTTAAAATAATAAACCGGTCAAATGAAACGATGATGTGCTAAGTGACGTTATTTTATTTGTAAAGTGTTCCAATTTCCAATGATCATGTAGTTTAACCCGGATATTCCAAGTTGATTTCCAATCCCTATACATTTTCCCAAGACACTTTTTTTATTAGTATTTGCGAGTCAAGTTGTCTTATAAGGTGGATTGGTTATACAAGAAATGGGTTCAAAATTTAGTGCACTGATAATTCGATCATTTTTTACAATATCATACAAGATTTGCTTAAACTATAGATGTACCAAGTTGCCTCCCACTGTACCAAGTTGTAGTTTTTTAAAAAATTTTGCTACATCAAATTTACCATCAAAATATAAATATAAAATATTTTTATACTGCGACTTGCGCTCATTGGTAATTACTAATGGAGGACTTAAAAAAATCAATACTTGGAATGGTGAAATAATAAGTAAAAAATTAAAAATTACTGCTAGTTTAAAAACTAGCCTAGGCGCCCTGCGTAGTGGATTCGCGTACCACGCCCAACGAGATTATGCTAGTGTTTGGCCGTAAATTTTCAAATATTCTTGGCAAATATTATTTGAGTGAAAATTTGGATGAAATTTCACCATGTGTTTGGCCATAGGATTTGGGAAATATATTTCACCTATTTAGAAAAATATGATTTATACCCATAAGTTTTAAAAACTATTAAAACTAACAATACGTTTGTATTACAAGTCAATTGGATGTTCGTTACAACAATAACAAATAGTTTCCATCACACTAGAGTACTGTGGTAATTTGGAGTGAGTGCAACAAATATCATTCCATAAATCGTGAAGTAGACAAAATATATGATTTTATTACCTTGAGTTAATTTTTCATCATTTTCATCAACAATCATATCATTATTTAATATTCACTAAATATTTCATCACTATTTTGGTGTTCACGTAAAAAAATTATGTAATACAACACAAATAACTACTATAGAGGGTGTTTTTGTAAAAGATAAAAGTTTAGGGTAAAATTTTAATTTTCAAAAGATCTCAAATAATGAGATTTGACCCAAATACTAGAAAAAACTAGTATTTGAGAATTTGGGATATTTACCAAATAATGACAAATTGTATGGACAAACATTATTTGCCAATTTTTTCCCCAAATATTATTTGGGAAATCTATGGCCAAACGGGTCCTATATAGCGGCAACGTAGTAAGGCTTTAAATAATTGATTACGCATATATTGTAATCGAATAATAACCGAATCCTTTGTATTTTCAAGAGAGAATTTAATTATATGGAAGTTTGATACGCGTATTGATTGAATTATCTGAGAACGCTTGGATGATGACCTAGTTAACAATAAATAAAAAATTACAAGCATATTACATGATAAGCTAAGAAATGAAGTTTCTTCACTATAAATTGGCATTTGAAGATCGGCAAAATGAAGAACCATATTGTAGAAAACTAATACGAAGAAAAAATACATAAAAAGGGAAAAGAGAGGAGTGATATGGCTGGCATGGCTGAAAAATGGGAGGAACTTAGTGGGAAAAGCAATTGGGATGGGTTAGTACACCCCTTGGCTGTTGATCTTCGTAAATATATCATTCAATACGGTGAACTGGCTCAAGCAACATATGACACGTTTATAACAGAGAGAGCATCCAAATATGCAGGAGCTAGCAGATATTCGAATGAAAATTTCTTTACTAAAGTTGGACTTGACCCAAACAAGTATGGAGTGACCAAATTTTTCTATGCTACCGCATCCATTCCACTTCCTGATGCTTTTATTACAAGATCATTTTCAAGGGAAGCATGGAGCAAGGAATCAAATTTTATGGGTTATGTTGCTGTGGCTACTGATGAGGGTAAAGTTTCACTAGGAAGAAGGGATATTGTCGTTGCTTGGAGAGGAACTAAGCAAGCATTAGAGTGGGTGAATGACCTTCAATTTCTACTTGTTCCAGCACCCAATGTTTTTGGTAATGGTGGTTTGCTTCCTTTGTTTCAACCTTTGGTGCATCATGGGTTCTATAACATTTATACATCAGAAAGCGCCCGTTCACAATTTAATCAGACTAGCGTTCGGGATCAGGTGCATATCATATAGTATTAACTTGATATATATCTTCGTTTCTCATTAATATGACTATATATAATGAAGCTAAAGAGTCTCACGGTTCGTCTTGTTTCCCTCTTTTTAGGTAATGGAAGAAGTGAAAAGATTGGTGGAGGAATATAAGGATGAAGAGGTGAGCATAACTGTGACGGGACATAGCCTAGGTGCATCACTTGCAACTCTAAATGCGGTTGACATAGCTTTCAATGGAATCAATAAAACAAGTGAAGGCAAAGAGTTTCCAGTGACTGCTTTTGTATTCGCAAGTCCTAAAGTTGGAGATATCAATTTTCTCAATAAATTTTCCAAACTGAAGCATCTTCACATCTTGAGGATTCATAATTTATTGGATATTGTTCCGAAATACCCACCCATTGGGTATTTTGACGTTGGGCAGGAGATTATGATTGATACGACAAAATCTCCGTATGTGAAGCCTCCAGGAGAAATTGTGAGCTGGCATTTGTTGGAGCCATACTTGCATGGAGTCGCTGGTACTCAAGGTTTAGGACTTTTAGCAGGTTTTAAACTAGAGGTGAATCGCGATATTTCACTTGTCAACAAAGAGTGGGACATACTGAAAAACGAATATTGTGTTCCTGCATTTTGGTGGACTGAAAAGCACAAAGGAATGGTTCAACAAGAAAATGGATCTTGGCTTTTGATGGATCGTGACGAGTATGAATTCTGAGGCTGGTAGTTAGAATTCTAAACATGATCACTCATTGTTTGTTTCCTTTTATATAATGTTTCAATAAATGTTTTAAGCTTTGTGGAAATCACATCCTATAGTATTTATGTATTATGGTTCCTCTTTTCCCGGAGGATATTTTAATTATTAACAATATTTTAATTACTATTCTTTTGCTACAACTGTTCTTTTATCCCTATTTTATTAAATTTCATCGAATGCTCTTTTCGTCTTTACTTTTAGGAAAAGTATAATTTCATATAGATTTGCTTTTGTCTCTAATTCGTAAATTTCAAATAAAGTTGAGATTTATGGTCAACCATGCTCATGATGAATGGATAGAATAAAAAAAAATTATGCTAGAAATTACATAAAGATAAATGCAAGTAATTAATCAGGATAAATAAAGTAATTAAAGTTTGATAATAACATTTCCTTTTCTAGTAAAATCACTATATCATTTATTTATATGGTTTCTGGCATACAATTTATTGGTGGAAAAACTTAGCAAAGTTGGAAAGTTTATGTTTGTTAAAATTTTATAGAGGAAAACTCAAAAATAACTAATTTTAGAGATGTAACCGGACTCCTTAGATAACGTAACTCTATGTTAGAAGCAGGAGAGAGACAAGCAAAATTGAGAGTAAATCTAGATATTCGATTTGTTCGATTCGATTTACGAAATTTGGTTTGATTTTTCGGATTTTGATTTGAAAAAATACAAACTGAAACTTAACTGATATAAATTCAGTTTAATTCAGCTTTTAGAATCTAGACTCGATTAATTTTTTTGATTTTTACATGTATGAAACACTGATCAGTAACACGCTACTTGTTCTTGCTCTTCAGGTCAATAACTCACCGCCTCATGCAGTCGCGAACGTGCGATTGTTCTTCACTCGCGCAGTCGCAGAAGGGCAGAAGGCAAGGCAGTACTTAGTTTGGACTTTGGTGTGAAATGTGATTATGTTAAGGGAATTAGAGTGAATAAGGATTTAGGAATATTGTGCTTAGTTGGGTTACTTAATACTTAACAGACAATAATAGTTAACTCTTAAAAGTTAAAAAAATATATGTAGTAAATATATAGTACATAAATTCAATTTTTCGGTTAATCGAAATAAAAAACTTTAAAATCAAAAATCAAATTAAATTACTGAAATTTTAAATTTGAAAATCGAAATCGACTGATTTAACAGAAAAATTGAAATCAAAATTTTTAAAAAAAATAGTTCGATCGATTTTTTCTATTTCGATTAAATTATGTCCAGCCCTTATTGAGAGAGGGGGAGTTGAGCGATATCAGACGGAAGAGAATGACATAATTGACTTATACATCTGATTGATAATTGTATCATAAATACAATTAGTTTGTATAAAAAAAAATTAGTTATTAGAAGGATAAGAGAGACGAGCAATATTGGGAGAAAGGGTAGAGAACTGACATAGGTTAAGGAAAGAAGGAGAGAGGCGAGAGAGATACAATTGATTTGTATATCTAATCAATAGTTGTATATATAATTGATAATTGTGTATAATTGATATAATTGATTTGTATCAACGAATATAATTGTATCAAAGAATATTGTAACGGATGAATACAATATCAAATAATTTATGTAATTATTTGAAAATATAAATAGAATTAGTATATCTGGTAAAAATGTATGTTGAATAAGGTAGTTTTTCCTTTAAAGAAATAAAATAACTCTCAAATATATTTTGATGAGAAAATTTCATAAAGCGCACTAATTTATATGTTAATTACTCAACGAAACGATAACTTAGGAATAACAAAACCTAGCCATCTAATTACTCTGTCACTTTCCTCTGTAACACCTCATAATTCTACTCTAAGGATTCAAATCATTTGTTACAGGTATATCAACTTGGATCAAGTGATAAAATATTCGTTCATCTATGTCAAAGTCTATTTCTAAGTGTGAGAAGTGCATCATTTGTGGTTTAGAGTCATAATGAACCTCAATACAAAGTCAAGTTCAAAGCATTTTGATTGACTAAGTTTTCACTTGAGTTCATGTATGGGTCTTCTTAAAATGAACAAATTTCTCAGAAGATAAAAGAGTTAGATGACCCATGAATTATAAAATTAAAGGTCTACGAAATTTTTTTTTGAACACCACTGAGCATTTTTCAATCCACGTTCTAAGTAAAATATTATGATTGATTTAGCAGGATGTTCCAAACTAACAATCAGTGACGGCCTGAGTGATGGTCCTTTCACAAGTGCGATTGCCCATCACACTTGGGCGTCACACACGACCAGTAGGGTCGTTTTAGCCAGTTCTGATGGCCTGAGTGACGACCCGTCACCCAATCGACAGCCCATCACCCTGACAACGTCAAACGACCAAATCTCACCAATTTTTATTTTCTTTTAGGGCATTTTGTCCTAAAATGTTTGGGAAATTATCTAAATATCCATAAATGTATAGTAAATACACTTTTCATTATTAAAGCTTCTTATTTTCAAAAAATTGGTTTTATTTTGTAGGACGTCTAGGCATACGAGATGAGTCAGATATTATGAATTCATTTTAGTCTTCTAGTTATAAAACTGATGATGAAAATGGGTTTCGGTGTTGGGATGGGTGAGTGTTTTTTTTTATTTGATAAAAAAATTAGGTAGACCAATGAAAATTGCCTATTTAATATTTAGTTAAATTTCATGTCATATTCTATTAATTAAAGGGCATTTTTTAACCTAAAATATATTAAAAGCATTTTAAATCTAATACATGGAAGGAGTGTATTTTTAACCATTTCTAATAGATAGAGGGTATTGTTAACCCTTTTCCCTATAATCAATGATCTTCAGAGCATCACCTGAACCCCCTCGATAAAAAATTACACTATATATATAAAGTAAATTTTTTGTATTTACGTGGGTATATATATTTTGAACTTCTTCAATAACAAAGAGAAGTTAATGACTCAGTGACAAGTTCCGTTGAAATTAAGTTGTGTGTCATTGGTTTGAATCCAATTTAAAGCATTTTATTTTTTATTTTTCAGTGCTAAAAATGTGATTTTAAACCCAAAAGAATTCAAAAATTTCTATTTTTAAAGGTTTATTACATGTTTATACTTTTAAATTCCCCCCCCCCCCCCCAAAAAAAAAAATTAGATTCGCTACTGATCACTATGTATTGTATATTGTGAAAAAAGGATTAATAGAATGTAAATATATGTAGAATTCTCATGTGATTATTACTTCCTCTGTTTCAAAAAAGATGACCTAGTTTAATTTGGAACGGAGTTTAAGAAAAGAAGTTCAATCTCGTAGTTTTAAATCAAAGATATATCATATGTATCAAAATGCCCTTTAATCTTGTGATTTTAAATATACCACGTGAAAAGTTAAAATTCAGATATCGTTAAAATGGATAAATAGTAATTATTTTTTAAACAGAGTAAAAAAAATGGAGTTTTTCTTTTGAAATAAAGGAAATATTTTATTTCAGTTTGCTTGACTTAGGGCCCGTTTGGATGGGCTTAATAAAAGCAACTTTAAAAAAGTACTTTTAAAAGTGCTGAAACTTATTTTTAAAATAAGCAGTTATGCGTTTGGATAAAAGTGCTGAAGTTGTTATGTCAAACGTGAAAAGGTAAAAATGGAAGAAAGAAATGTTAGAGTTATATGGGTAATTTGGAGATTGTACAAAAATATTAAGCACAAAAAGATAAAAATGTGGTCAACTTAAAACAGCTTATAAGCTAAAAAAAACACTCCTATCCCAGCTTTTAACTTTTGGCTTAAAATAATTTTTTTTTAACTTAAAATAAGTTATTTTGAGTATTGCCAAACAACTTAATAAGTCAAAAACCAGCTTTTAAATCAGTTTGACCAGCTTTTAAGCTGAGCCAAACAGGCTCTTAAATATTTCAATGATCCCCCACGTGCTTAAATCGGGACAAGTTGTATGTCCCATATGGCATATTGATTTTCTGAGTTACTCATTATTTTATTTTTATTTTTCTGACCTGCCATGAAAGGATTAGCTTATTGGGTAGATTGGTATTACTAGTCACTAGATAAGCTTTTTAATTCAACGCACTAATAATTCAAAGTATTTTTTTACAATATCAATATGATCTCCTACATGAATGATTGGATTACGTATTCCAAGAAAGTTTTACGATCTACTCTATCACGTGTTTTCTTTTTTCTTTTTATAAAAAATATTATTTTTTTCCTCTACTTTTAATTATCATGATATTTTTGTTAAAAGTAGAATAATAAGATTTTTCACTAACAGTTTATATTATATTTTTTTATTATATTGATATGCAAAAAAATTATATTTTATGATACTTTCGTATAATTTTTGAATATGTAAATTCTTCATTTAAAATATCAAGTTAATGTAATCTAATATTATTTTGAAAATTACTCAAATTGAATTTTGAAAAACGCAATATGACAATTAAAAATGAACAGAGAGAGTATTATATTTCTATATATAGAAGTAATTTAATTTTAAAATATTTACTTTACTAGATAATAATTTATAGCCACAAATGTGTAAATTCATTTTAGATTACAGTTTCTAAATGCTAAATACATTCAATATAATTACCACCAAGAAAAGACTCTGCTACATGTAAATTTATATAGTAACTATGATTTGGTAACTCAAGAAAAGTTACTTACAAAAACATACATAAAGTATCAATAATGACAAAGTTTAAACCCTTCAGAAACACGGGAAACGATTCTAATCTGCAAAAGATTGATATGCCTATTTATTTATTGAATCATTGATATATGGCGGTGAGATAAATAGTATTAGTTTTGTTTGATAATCAAACAAATTATAGAACCAAAAATAAATGAACTTATTGATAAGAGTCGGGTGAATTAACTTGTAACTCATTTTAAAACGTCCAAATTTAATCTAGATCCTCCAATTTGACATGTTTTTTTTAACTTGTGACAGATTTAATTTATTCATTTTAACCAAGAAGAGTATATGTGCAGTTTTATCCTTACCTCTGTATATTTCCATCCCTATATGTGACAGCTCTATATATGTTTATGCCCATAAGGTGATGATAAGGGTACAGCTTTCTAGTTAGAATTTTTTAGTAATTTTTAGTATTATTGCTTGGCCATTTTTCAATTATTGTTCTGCGTGATGGAAACAAAGTTGCACTATAAATTCAAGGGCTTAACGTTGATCACATACCAAGGGGAGAACA